GTAATGGTCTCGGCAGTATTGATGCAAAGCTCAGTGGCTAAAATGCCAATTCTGATAAAGTGAAGGGACGTTTTGTTCCTGGGTCAGCAAGAGAGAAGCTTGTGGTGGCTCATTTTGTTGTCAATTCTGTTGTTCGGATTATTAGGGTTATGAGTCGGATGTTGTCTTGTCCAGTTTGTTTTTAGGATNCTATTTACAACGGAGTACTAAATAAACATCCATAATATAATATATTCATAACACATACTTCTTTATCGAGCCAATCTGTCTTGTCGGAATCAGATTAAAAAAAGTTAAAGAATAGTGCCTTACCTCACAAGGAGGAATGTGGGCAGAGTTATGGCAAAACATCTCATTCCTGCACAAGTCGCTCTTAATTTTTTTCTTCCTGCAGCATAAGGTCAAACCAAGTCTTAGACATATTGATTTTAAAGCATGTTATACTCCCCCAAAGAGTAATCCTGTTAGCAAATAGAAATATGAAGTATGAGAAGAAAGACTATAACACTGCATAAATACATGAAACACATATATATAACACCACAACATACTTGATATTGAATTCAGGAAATAGGAAACTCTTTTGGCAGATTTTTCCTTTCACAATAGTTTTTACAGTATCCATATGAAAGTGTAAATAAACCACCAACTCTTCAGCTAAAGTACACTTCTCTCTTGGAAGCAACCTTGCCAAGAATACAAAATATACTGGATTAAGGTCTAGGAATATAGACGTTCCATGAACAAAACGTATTACATGGGCCCTGCATATACCATAATACAAAATCAACTCAATACACAAATCACAAGTTTAAACGGTCTAAATGGAAAGAGGAACTTATGCATTCATACTATACACAAAAATGTTTGCTCTTATGCTTGTCCATTCTTTTCAACTTGTCCATCTTCTCTACTCCAGTTACTTAATTTGCAGCCTGCTATGCATGTGTTTTTTATTGCTCTTTTAAATAGAAGCTCTTTCACTCCCATATTTGATGCTAAATAAAATGATAAAACTTTTAGGTGAATAGTTAAAGAAATTTTCGTCCATTTTAGCAGTTACCTCTATGCATAAGTAGGAAGAATATAAGGTCTTATCTAGAAATAATATATTTTGTTCAAACATATAGCTTTCCTCAAGCTCAAGAGTTAATCGAGAAAATTGTATTTCCTTTTGGCATAAATATATGCTGCCTCCACAAATACCTAAGTATTTGGACTACATAGCGCAATGCACTACCTCTTGTATTCAAGAAACCTAAATTCTTAATTGTACCTCAAAATGATGTCTAAAAAGGAAAATAAAATACAAATTAGAGTAAACATGACATAATTTAGCCATAATTGGTTCAATATTTGCAGGGAAGATCAAATTATATTTACTACGTTGTTACTCTACTTTGGGTACTTGAAGCTGAAGCAGTCTCATCACTTGCTTTTTTTTAGGCCTTAAGGGATCTTTATGACAGTGTTGCTCCACATCAGTCCCATCAAAATTATCGTGTACTAGTGCCACACAACTTACAAACAGTTTTACTAATACACACACAAAACTTCAATATAGAAATCAGAATTTTACAATTCCAGAAAGGTGCAAAAGGCAAAAAATTCAAACCTTAAGCTTGCTATTATTAAATATTCTTAAATTTGATATAAACACAAAAAGTTCAACGGTTAAACACAACATAGTAAAAAGCCGAGTTGTTCAACCTAGTTTATTTTTTAACTTCATTAGAAATTTTGGAGCATTTAGTATTACTATTACTATTTTAACTGGCACAAATTCCCCCGACCACGAAATCAAAACGTGTGATATCATCTTCGTTTAGTATCAGTGTTCTACTTGATTCAACCTTCTCCCATAGTTATTGAGAGATCATATTTATATCGCCATTATCCACAAATAGAACTAAAGATTAACTTGGTTCTTTAATTAAGTTACCTCAATTGAATCCCAAGCAAAGATTACGACGATTCCTTTGTAACATGAGTTGGCAGCGAGTGAATTTGTCTCACAAATCACGTACAATTTTTTTCCTCCTTTCTCGTGTGACTTGGTAAAGAATAGAAGCTTTGCCTTGAAGCCTAACTCTTAAATAAACAAAGAGATTTCGGAGGATGAAGGTAGGTTTGTGGCCAAGAAGCAACAGAGCACACAGAGAGACGACGGAAAGGGAAAGTAAGAATGAATTGCAATAGTCTGTTCGTGCTTTGGGTTAAGCTCAAATTACACAGAAGACAAAAATCACAGACACATGTTTTGTGAATTGGGTGGACCCGTGGAAGAACTGATGCGGTGGCGGTCCAATTTTGAGATTAAAGCACACGTTTCATTAGATGTTGTTAAAGGTCCAAATTACCCTTGAACAAAAATTAAAAGACAGCATGTCGAAACTCAAGCTCTTCTATATAAGAAACGGAAAAGGGTCAAATATACCCATGTACTATGAGAAAAGGTTTAAATATACCCTTCGTTATACTTTGGGTCCATATATACACTTGTTGTTATACTATTGGTTCAAATATATCCCTCGTTTGTTAAGTTTGTCTAAGGTGGACATCCAATCATATATGGCACTGATATTTGATGAGGTAGATGTCGCGTGTTATGCCACCTCAGCACCCCTAACCTATTTTACCCCTTCCTTCTAATTTTTTCTTCCACCCCTAAAATTTTCTTCCCCTCCACCACCATTACCGACACCATGAACGATATTGTATTCATTGCCACCATCACAAGAAAAGCCACTTGAAAAAGACGCACACTTTAACTCTGAAATTTCACATAGATCAGTCGAATAGCTAGTCCAGTAGAGAAAGAAAATCTGAATCGTCAAGGTCAACATTGCCTAATTAACCGATCGAGCGAAAGTTCTTTGCCTTCTTGATAGCTTTTGACTTCTCCTTTTATCATCTGAATATATATATATATATATATATATATATATATAT